ATTGAGGGAGGAAGCAAACAGAAGGGTCTATGTCTGTAGGCATAAATTCAACAGAAAGTCTTTTAGACTGGCATTAACAATGCCACAATGCATATGAGGTAAAAATTGAGGAAATATTCTTAGCTCAAATTGAATTGCCTTTGCCTTTGAGCACCACTTCATATATGAAAAACTTTCCTTCACCAGTTCATGACTGTTTCACATGCATATTAAGACAACCAGGGACACACAGGCGAGTTTGATTTAAACAATCTTGTAATAAAAAATTGTGCATCCACTTTGTTTGATAAATGCTTGGTGGTAGTTCAGTCTTTGTGAAGCATATGGTTCTTTATAGCGGGCGTCTTCACAGCACTGCCTTTGGGGAATGCTGCAGAGACAGGAATAGCTCTGGGTGTCAGTGCTTGCCTGTGCCAACTGCCTGATCAGATGTGAATGTACTGCTCTAATAATGTAAATCAGAAATAAGAACCGAGCTCTTATGAGATTCACTGTGACCAATGGCTGCAGAGTAGACAGAGCCATCACACCTGCTCTTGCAATGCTTTGTAGAAGCAATCAGTATCCTTAGTTACCAGCTGGACACCTGTGTTTTTAAAACTCATTTAGTAGCCTTTTAAAATTAGTGCAGTATATATATATATATATATATATATATATGTAACAGGATTTTTGGTTTTGCTTTTCTGTGTACCATCAGCATTTTCAGTAGCTGAAGAAGAAAATAAGAAAATTCTGGCATAATTAAAGCAAATATTCAGATGCAGTACATCCTCTGTGTTCAGCAGCACTTCTAAGTGAACCCACAGAGCCAATGCACCCAGCTGTATTGCAAACAATCTCTTTTAAGTTTGCATCTCTTTTACTTCGTGGCACATGTATGTGATACGATAGAAGGAACAGGACCTGTTTTCAGTGCATTACTCACAGTACCCAAGTCAGCCTGGATTTCTTGGTGCTACTGCTTCTATGTCAGAGTTGTGTCTCGTGTAGAACTCCTCCTTGATTCTCTTCAGTTGTTCATGATATGATGCAGCCTTTTGTGATAACTGTAGGCATATATATTGCCATAGAGCTTTGAGTTCCCCTTTGGGTCCTCTTCCACTGCAGGAGCAGTGTAGTCTGGTGTAATCCATGCAACATCTGCCTTAGTCACCACTTCAAGCTAAAACCTTCTGCAGGAATCAAAATCAGATCAATCCTACAATCCTAGAGCACAATTTTCATCAAAGAAAGAAAGTTGGAACACCTTGGTGTGTTCCAGTCAGTCTCCTCAGATGAGGACGCTTCCTAGAAAAAATGCACTTTTACAACCTGCCAAAATATTTGGAGTCCGTGGCAAATGCTGCTTTCCAGACAAACTGTGAAGTTCTTGCACAGCTGGGATTCTCTTGTGGACAAACTCACACTGCCAGCAGAAGCCTTTGGCTGACCTAAATGGATTAGTGCTCTTACTCCAGGGAAGTCATAGGCAAATGGTAGATTAGGAAAAGATCTTGCATGTGCAGCTACTACCTTACTCTTCATTTTTGGATCAGCCACACAGATACTTTGTTAACATTCTCAAAATGCCACACACCTCCTCAGATTTACTCCAGCCTTTCAGCTTGTTTCACCATCTGTGTGGATTGCCTCGCTCAGATTTTGTAAGCATGGTGATGTTTTAATAAGGGACACAGGCTTGGATAGTGTTTGTTTAGGATGTCCACTGTGATATCAAATTCTGCTTAATTCTACTTCATAATTTTACTAAATGCAGGTTTTGTCAATTTGCATGTGGCACAGTATCAGATGTTTCACAGAAATCAAGGTAGATTGGATTTTCATTAACCTTCTACTTTCCTTTAATCTCATCTCTGTCAAATACTGACCCTACTGCTTTTCATTGGTAGGGAGTAAAAGTCCACTTAATTCCAGGTCTTTCCTACTAGTTGCTACTTTCTGTTTGGCTCTCTATTTTAATGCATTTTTTTGTCATTTAAGTAAGTATGCTTGGAGGCATGGCCTTGATTTTCCCCCACATCTATGCAAATTGTTCCACATACATTTTGTGCCTTTGTCTTTAAGGAATACCAGTCGTCCTTCCTTCTCCAGGCATCTGCCAGATTACTTCATTAAGTAGCCTTTCTAACTTTTCATAATAAGGCTAAATTAAAAAAAATAAACTTATATTTAATTTTTTTAAATGAATGTTAATAGAGCTGCAAACTTGCTGTTCTTAAAAAAAAAATCCTCTTTCTCATTCTAACTTTTTTCCACCTATAAAACACATATATAAAACAAATGAAAAATTTAAACTCCTAGAAACTACTCTTTCTTGCCCTGAAGGTGGCTAAAATTATCACAATTATCCATGCAGCCCTAACTGTTGACAGAAGTTTTTGTTTGTTTTATGTAGCTACTGTATTTCATTTAGAAACTACTAAAAATAAAATCATCTTAGAGACCATCTGCTTAAAATGACAGTGCATACTAGGGCTAAATTTTTAAACTTCTTTTCCTGCTTTGTTCATTATCTCTCCAAAAACTGGTTACTTAACAAACTCAGTATTCAGTGCTAAGGGCTTATTTTCTGAATTGATTTTCTGCTTACATCCAGTGTGTACACATCCATTTGCAACAAGTAGCCATAATTCACTCATATGCTGACTGCTTTGGGAGATCAGAGGGTAAAAGAAGGGATAGCCTTGTTTTAATACTTAAATACCATGTAGAGGCTTCAGGTTCCTCAGAACAATTAACTCTTCCTTTGATGAAGGGACCTTTTTCCTTTTGCTCCCTCGTTGCCTGTTCTGTTCTGGATTCCAGGACATGAGGAAGAAAAACCTGAGCAGATGGTTAAAGCCCATAATTTACCACTGCACATAATGAGCCTTTTGTTTAGTTTGGTTTTGGTTGGTTTGTTTCTTGGTTGGATTAAGTAATACACATGTTGAGAAGGAGGAAATTTCCTTTTCGAGAGAATTTGTTGGTAGAAGTTCCCACACTTCAACACATACTTGTTGTAGTCTTGTCATTCAGGCTGTTTTCTTCTGGTGTTTTGTTTAATCTCCAAAATACCCATACCAGCATTTAACATCGAGGATTGAAAATGAGAATAAATAAGAAATGGAGATAGGATAATTAATTTGTCTTCAGCTAGTTTATTGGATTTTGCTCTCATTTTTTATTTTTGTTTAAACAAAAAATCTGGAAGATGTCGTTGGTTTGTTTAGAGCTGTTTTTGTAGAATGCAGGTCTAATAGGTTTGAAGAACCTGTTAGGAAGTGTTAATATTGTTAATTGAAAGAAAGCAGATGTAAGAAGAAGATGCCCTGTCAGGTAATATTGTTTCTATGATCTCTAGCAATTCAAACTTAAAAAAAGTGTGCCAGTGAATCTCTTCCTTTTCACCTGTTGACAGAGTTATGGTTAACTGGAAATGTGATGTTCACAATCTTTGGCTACTGAAGTTTGTAGCCTTCCCTGATACTTGTTACAATGTTCTCTAACTTTTCAAAATATCAATTAAATGTTAAAATCTTTTTGAACCTATGCAAATGTCTCTTGCAGAGATTTCCAACAGTCTATATAATCTAAAAATTCATTGGAATAGTCCATATGTGATTTATTACTACATCTTTATGTTTTCTTTGTATTAAATGTTTAATGTGAATTCTAATATTTATGAGTTAACTTAAGTTTTGTCAGAGGAGAAATAACCAATGAAATTCTGAGTGGTTTTTTACATATCATATTAATATTCTGAATCTCCATAAAGACACAACTGTAGTGACAACACTCAATCTGGCAAACATCACATATAAGAAAAGAACAAACAATCCCTCTTTCTGTAGCAATTCATTATTATTGTAAGATAAGTCTTCCTTCCCTGAAATGTTGTGGGGAATTGTTGTATTTAAAGTGTGCTTGGGACAGATTGGAGAGATGCTGTGAATTCTCCTAGTGACGTAAACTTGGCCTCAGTGCAGAAAAATCTTTATAATTTAGGAAGGAGACTGGTGATCAGTATTATTTTAGCCAAATATTATAGCTGGAGTCTGCAACAGGTCTGCCAGGGGTTTTTTTGTCAATGAGGTCCCAGATGATCATGGTAACTGGAACAGAGAACTTATTTGTAAGTTACCTCTTTTTCCGAGTTTCCCCAATTTCCCTTTTTTAGCGTAAACGTATTACTAGATGGAAAATGGTCAAAATATTTATATGGCACAAAAAATTAGCTCTTGGGGAAAAGGCATATGATAATGAAGTATATCATATAGAGAGGCTATGTGTATCTCTGGTTTTAGGGACATGAAGTCCAAAACCATTTCCATGAATGATTTTACCTGTAAACCCAGAGTGGAAAAATACACCTGAAGTGATGGATTGATTTTAAGTTCAGGTCTGGAAGCTTCATAATACATACTGGGACTTGTTCTGCATACTTGAATTCAGTTCTTTTATGTGATACTAATGGTGTTTCATGTTTTATATGATTAAAGTGCAGAGACTTGAGTGCTCAAGTAGGGCCAGAAATATGTAAGAGTTTTACATTAACTGTATCTGAAAAAGAACCCCAAACAAAAGACAAAATTGGTCACTGCTTTCTGTATAAGATAGCGATTGGTATTGCATAGATACAGCAATAAGTAAAAAGGACTTTTTTTGCAAATTAGCATTTCATAGCAAACCATTTGTGGTGATCTGAGCATGCATTTTCTTTCTTTTAGTATACTAAGATTTCACGTAGCCTTTTTATTTAGAAAAATTAATCAGTTAGAGAACTATTTCCACAGTTACTTCTTCTAGTGATACTTTGTTTAATTCTTTTTCCAGAGGAGTACAGCTTAAAATGACAAATAGCTTCAAATTTGATTTTAATGTTTGCTTTGACAAAGTGGGGACAAAAAAGATGTTATTTACACATTTCTGTCTTCTTTGTTGACCTAACTGTTGGCACATTTATCCACTAATAGCAGATTTTTTGATGTTTTTTTTTTGTATTTGCTTTTGCACAGAGAGTTTGGATGGCGGGATCCAGAGCTTCCAGAAGTTATACAGATGTTACAGCATCAATTTCCCTCAGTACAGTCAAATGCTGCAGCCTACTTACAACACCTCTGTTTCGGAGACAATAAAATAAAAGCAGAGGTAAGATTTATAAATCCTTTTCCCAGCAGTATTGCTGTCTGCTATTTATCATCAACAATTATTTATATGTGCTTTAAAAAGCTTAAAAGATACATCATGGATATATGCCTGACTTTCTTTGTTACTAAAGCTTTCACTTAAGTCATTTGTTACTGTTACAAAATGAAAAACATGCATAAAATAGTATTGTAACTCACTGTTTTATTTTCTTTGGGATGGTTTGATTGATTGCATACCATTTAAACACTGTATCATAGTTGTTCAGTAATCAGCTAGTGGTGTAGTCTTGATCTGTCTGAAACATATGGGCATTTCCTTAGGGTTCTCTGAGAGCCATCTAGACACTAAATACAAGCACAGAATATGAAAATTAAGCAAGAAATTTCTAAATCAAAGCATCCTTTAATGCATAATTGTGTGAATAGGTTTTAATTTGGCTGTATTTGCAGCTTGAATGGTGCTCATTGGTCTATGATCTTGGAATTCAGTGCAGATTGTATCTAAAATGTAATTCAGACATCAGTATAGAGATTGTTCTGTACCTGTAGCTGACAGGTATTTCTTTCTTGTTTGTTCCCTGTGGTTAATGGGACCAGCACAGCTTTTGGCACAAGTTAAACAGAAGCTCTGAGGGATCTGACAAACACACAGCAGTCAATTAAAATTGAATGAGTGAAGCCATTACCAGCCCCAGCTGCTTCCCCTGGCCCTCTCAGAGACACTGCTAATCAGGGACATGTGGTGTGCACATAAATCTGTGCCTCTACTGGCACCTTTTAGCCTGGCATGTAAAGGGAAACTGAGATCAAGATCTGCTTCTGCCTGTTTGTCAGAACTGTTCAGTGATGCTGACTTGCCAGTGCTTCATCTTCCTCACCCTCAGCACAACCCACTCTGTGGATCTGTCCCACTGTAGAACCTTCCCTTGCAGGCTTTTTCATGCTCAGGAAATTCCTTAGTGGGTAAGCATGTAGTCTGCTGGTGTTGGCAGAGCTGCACTGGTTGCAAACATTACCTCAAGCATCTTAGATATAATAATAAAAAAAATATTTGCATGAGTGTAAAGTGAAGGATGTTTGTGCACTGGAGAAGAGAACTCTGGTACAGGTATCACTGAAAATTTTAACTGTGTGCTCTCTCTGTACTCAACTCTCATCCGTATTCAGAAATTAGTTTTTCAGTGAAAGAACTGGTAAATCTCTGAGAAAGGAAGTTAAATTATTAGAGCACTTTGCTCATTGCACAATTATTAGAGCACTTTATTCATTGCACAATCTCTGCTGGCTCCTGTCAGCCATAGATTGAGACCCCTCAAGTAGCTGTCCCATTTGAGGGAGGCAGATGGTTTAATTTCTGTTGCTAACCATTTAGGAAAAAAGGGGTCTGATCATTGTTGATCTCACCTGTCCCAACAGCCTTTGGACATCAGCCCTTGTAAGCTTCAGGCTCATGAGCTGGGAGGGTGAAGGTAGATAAATACAACAGTAGAGCGCTAGGCAGCATTCAGAGCTTCTTCTGTGAGAAAGGATAGCAGATAAAACAAGGCTTCCCCCATTTCATTTGTTATTATTCAGGACTTTTACATACCCCTCACTATGTAATAATGCAAACTGCTATGTAAACAAACCAAAGTACCTTTCTTAAAACAGTTCATCTAAGAATAAGCTTTCAAACTTCTGGTACTTTGGATTTTTGTAAGATGATGAAATAATGGGATGTATTGTAACACTTTCCTAATGCTTTGTGGAGCTGTTCAGTCTAAAGCACCCAACATTATCAAACTATTTTATCTCTCTCTGTATCTATCTGTGTACCAACCTCTGTTATTTAATGGCAAGTCCTGTTGTGTTTAGGTCATGCCTCAGCAGAGCACTTGAAACAGTTTCTGTGTTTACTTGTTGGGATCAGGGTCTACCCAAATGGCTCAGTAGTGTACCTAGGGCCTGCTCGACCTTCTACTGAGTCAGCTTCTCAAGGAGCCTTTTTTGTGAGAGTTCAAAATCCTGTTGATAAGGAGATATCACAACAGATATCTCAGATTCTTCATAGGTGTATACCTAGCCAGAGGAACTTGAGCAGTCCTGTCAAACCTGCCCAGAACTACTCCTGTGATAACTGTTAAGGATGTATCTGAATTATGAGTTGAATTATAAATAATACACCTAAATAATACACACTGATACCAAAATTCTCCTTTCTGCAAAGTATTTGTGTTGTAGTTGTGTGTCATGGCCAGTTCTCCTCTGTCTGAGAATCACCACATTTAATACTGAATTCCTCCTAACAGCATTCCAGTCCCACTGCACATGGTTGCAGGGAATCTTGCCAGCTCTGACACAAGGAAAAAAGTACCAGGATACAGTATATTTTCCTTACAATCTCTTACTGAGATTACAGAGCAAAAAAAATTCCAAAAATTCTTTTGAAGCAGAGAAAAATGCTCTTTGATGAAATACCTAGCTTTAATATAGCAAAGGACTTGGGCTAAAGATGAGAAACTGTCTTGGTGGTCATTCAAATCCTAGAGAAAGGACAAACATAAATATGTGTAAGTAAAGAAGAGCTGCTGCTATTTTGTGTGCCTGACAGCCACTGAGGAAAAGGCAAATGGAATTCACAAAATAATTTTTTAGTGTTAATCTCTAATGTACACTTGATCATGCATGAACAGAAAGAATAATATTATACAATAATTTAGTTTGTTTACCAGGTTGTATTGAATTTTGAAATGTAATGGCAGTTGTTAAAGTAACTCTGGAATTACCTTACAGGGAAAAAAAGTTCTCTTACCTTTATCACTACTGAGCATCAAATTCTCACACTGCAATGAATGGCTATTTCATCCAGAGTTTCTGGAAATAACTGTTCTGAAATACTTAATTTTTTATTATTCTTTTAAACATGATTTATACTGTATCACCTATCCGAAAAGATGATCAATGATCTTTCCTCTAAACCTAGCCATTGTTTCAGTCTTGTTTTTGTATAGTGACAGACTTGTCCTACTCTCATAAATTAGTGGGATATGTATAAAATTTCTCCTCATATACTTGGTAGGACAAAGGCCTACCTTATATTCCTTTGTGGAAGAGTGTCACCTAAAATTTAGACAGAAATAGAAAATAGCAGCTGTGACTATATGCATTTCTGAGATTCCTAGTATCTTTTATGGTTTTACTATTATGTTTTTATCTTCTAAAATATTTCAATTTCTGTGGCTGAAGTGTGGAACACTACCCTTTGCTTCTTCTGAACCCTCCCTCCAAGAAAAGGAAGTGGAAATGCTCTCCAAAAAACATCTGAGAAAAAGATGCTCAGTCAAAAATGTTGGATGTGTGACTAGGGAAACTGGAGCTATTTTTCTCTTCCTGACCATGTTCTTTGTAGTAGGTGTTATTTCTAGAGCACATTGATCACAGATGTGCTTATGAATTTGGTGATGTCACTGGAAATGTGCTTTTATTGCTGCATCAGCGTAAATGTCCTGCTCAGTCTTACGCAGCAATGAGGTCTGCAAATCCCCTTCTCTATCTTAAAGTACTTCAGACAAAGTTGGTAACTGTTTATGTGAAGATGTCCCAGGCTGAATGCTAAGGTTATCAGAAGTAATTTTCTTCCTCACAGAATAAACCCAGCTTCTGGAGTGAATTAGGTTTTGTATTTCTGGAAGAATTTCTATTTTTCCCTTGTTAGCCCTGATCACAGCAGAACAGCAATAGGCAAATGCAATAAACACTGGCCATTGATAAAGATGGTGGTGTTACTTCTTCCAGGTGCTGCCACTTCTATGCTGCTCAAAACCATTCAGTGAAAGTCTTTATTTCTAAGTACAGTTGTAACTGCTGCTCTAATCTAAAAGTTTTTCACAAATGCTACTCTTGAGTCTCCTTGAGTCTTGCTGACTGCAAGGCAGGTGCTATACATGTTCTCAGTAGTGCTTCTCATTCTGTGCCTTCATTTTTATTCCATGTGCTGGGTGCTTATGTGGTGCAGCAGATATTAGAATGGAGTTGAAGAAATTGGATTGGTTTTGCTATTGTTTGATAGCTAGATTTTTCATCTTCCTTTGAGTAGTGACCAATCATTACTGAAGGTCTCACATAAGTAGAAGGGGACATAGGGAGGCAGAAGTCATAATATAAAGATTATAAAAATTGCCAGGCAGCCCATTACAGTTAGGCATAATAATTCCAAAATTGAGAGTCTCAGAATACTTCAGTAAATTCTTCTATAAATTATTCTTTCACTGGTAACAGTGAAGAATGTAACTTAAAAGCAAAAGGGAAGGAGGGAAGAAGTTTTGATCAGATATCTGAAAGCAAATGAAAAGCCTATCAGGCTGAAGAGCACAAGAAGACCCTTTCAGATGTCATTTTTCTCCTCAGGAGAGGTTCTTACACCAACAATGCTGAGATTGTGAGCAGGGCCAGAGTAGCTGCTCCTGGATGCCAAGAAGGAACAGACAGGGGATAATAGGAAAGGAGAAGCATTTTAAAATACTCTGCGGAGAAAATTTCTTTAAAAGAGCACATTCTATTAAACACAGGGTTCATTCTTCCACAGCATTCTTTTCTTCCTATAATGACATTTTCCTCCTTTGCATGAGGTCACCATATAAAAGGATTGAATTGTGCAGTTTCACACGCCAACACCATTTTGCCCTCATGGAAAATGGCAGCCTGCCATCAGCTGCAGAGGTGTAACAGTTCACTCGGGGGTTTTGGAACCAGTGATTCCCTTCCTCAAGCTAGGAAATTAATTTTTGCCAGCAAAGTCACAACACTTGAGATTCTCGTCTCAGGAAAATAATTCAAAGATGCCAAATAAAAGAACAGCAACTGCTGAACTGTCCTGCCTGAAGTCTTCCCTTGCATCCTTAATTAATACTGCTGAATTGGACAGTGTCCTCTTTATCTTGGAGAGCATTTCCATAAACTCCCTTTAGAAGAAAAGTATCAGTCCAGACACTGTCACATGGAGTTGTAAAAACTGAGTGACTG